ACTGCGAGGCCGGAGTCGTCCCTGTTGATGGCCTTTTTGTATGTGTACATTTTCGCCACGGCAACGAAAACCCCCAGGTTGATGGCGCTCAGCGCAGCGAGAAGCCAGAAAAAGTAATCCAGGTGGCCGTAGTTGAGGTTGTCTGCCAGCCACCCAGGCTTCCCATTCCTGGTACTTATGTCTGTAACAATGGAGACAAGGAGAGCACTGAGGTAGTTCCCTATGGCAGTGGTTGTGAGGGACAGAGCAGAGCACAGGCTTCTCATGGAGTCCGGCGCTTGGTCGTAGAAGAACTCCAGTTGTCCTATGAATGTGAACACTTCCGCGCATCCGATGATGAAGTATTGCGGCACTTGCCAGAAGACAGAGATGGGTATTTCCTTGGTGTCGTAGAGGTTGTCTCTCTTGACCACTGAGAGCCTGACCATCTCCAGCACGGCCGCGGACACCATGGCCAGGATGGATATGAACAGCCCGATCCCCATCCGCTGGATATGGGTCAGGCCCGTCTTCTGGCCCGTGAGTTTTCTCGCCATCGGGACGATGATCTTGTCGTAGATCGGGACCCACACGATGACGCTGATCATGTCGAAAACGCTCAGGGACGCCTCGGGGATCTTGAACTGGGGGGCCCTACCCACCCGAGTGTTCATTCCTTCGGCTTGCGTCACGAACTGCGTGCTCATTTGCCCGTACACCGTGCTGAAGATTATGCCCGTGGCCCAGATTGGGAGCAGTCGTATGATCGACTTCAGCTCCTCGACCTGGGTCACAGTGCACAGTCTCCACCCACTAACCGACCCCTTCTTGTCGTCCGATTCTAATGCCACTGCTGCCTTGTCAAAGAACCTAAAAATCATACATTCACATTTGTTTAGATACTAGAGTATAAAAACAAGTTGGTTCTTTTAACATGATATCAGAGCCTTGTTGACCTATCCAGGTCTCTAAAAACTCACCTGAATCCATTCGTGTGACCAAGCTTCCGACTCCCTTTGATGTTAGACTCAATGCCAGATGTCTCGTGCAAAAGCGACCCATCAGAAGGCACTTTAACCTTATGTTTCCTGAACGAAGCCACGACCACCTGACACAGGCGCGTCAAGGGGCTGCCACCGGGCTTCTGGTACCGGTACAAGCGCGTTCCCGAGAAGAAGAACCCAACAGCAATGGCCATGGCGACAGCAGGGACGCCGAACCCCCAGCCCCAGCTCACGTCCTCTTGAATCCATACAATCAAAGACGACGCGACCAGCGCCCCGATATTTATGGAGAAATAGAACCAATTGAAGAAGGAACTCTTCTGCTTCTTCTCCTCCTCGTCCGCATCGTCAAACTGGTCGGCGCCGTACGAGGACACGCACGGCTTGATCCCACCGGTCCCCAGCGCCACCAGGTACAGCGCCAGAAAGCACACCGTGGTCTGTCTCCCAGTCGCAGTGCACTTGTCTGGCGCTGTACAAGTGGGGCTGATGCCAGAAACCGTCGCGGACATTGTCAAAAGAGTCATCCCCTTGAATATACATAACACACATCAACAAAAAATCACAAAACAACAAGATTATATGTATCTGCTGAATGAATTGAAGTACTCACAATCACATAGATGATGGAGAAGCTAGCAATGGTCCAGTACCGACCGAGGTAGGCGTCGGCTAGAAAAGCGCCGAGGAGGGGCATGACATAGCAAGTTCCAGACCAATTGGAGAGGTTTTTGGAAGCGCTAATGTTGGACAGATTCAGTCGGGTCTGGAAGTAAATCATGAGATTGGAACTCATGCCGTAGTAAGCCAATCTCTCGGAGCATTCGTTGCCTGTCCAGATTCATTGAATCTCGATCGATTAATGAAAGGACAGATTCGCAGATTGAATGAGTGAAATGAATGAAAGAAGAACACAAAAAATGAATGCAAAATCAACAGAAATCTGGACTGATTACCGAGGATAAAAGGACAGGCCTTCCAGGTGCCGGTTTTCTTCTTGTTTGCCGGCCGGTTCCGGTAGTCCAGGGTTCCGTCCTTGGTACAGACGTCGTCGTCCTCCATTGATGAGAAACCTGAGAAGTTGGTTTGTTGGACTGCGGTGGTGGTGGTGGGGAGGAGGAGGGAGTATTTAATGTATCAGGAAAAGATTCTGGGAATCGGAGCAGGAAAACGGGGTTGACAATTTCATGGATTTATGGTGTGTGGTTTTTTAACGCTTTGTTTTCCGTAGAAAGCGGCCAAATTTGGTTCACACACTTCAACAAGTATAGGAGAGAGGGAGAGAGAGACTCCCAACGGGTCACGTTTGGTTTAGGTTTGGCCTACAGGCTACATCTATTCTCTGTGTTGACTGTTGACTCTTGTGAGGGAAATTTGTATTCCATTTATCCCTCACTTCTTCTGTTACCAAAATGAGCAAGAAACTAAAAAGTATAAATACATAAAAATGGGATAAAAATGAGTGGTTGAGAAAGGTCTAGAGAATTACAAACAATATTTTTTTTATTGTTTTTGATCAAATTTTTATTGAAAATTAATGTGTATCATTAAAAGAATTCATGCAAACTATTATTATATCTGTCTAAAAAAATATCGTCCTACTTTTTAAACATCATGTAAAATTTTATCTTTTTAAAAATTGTTTTATTTACAAATTGACATATAATTTAAATTTACAATTAATATTTTAAAACTACATAAAAAATTCTATAAAATAAGATAAAATTGGCATGGAATTAAAAAATTATATATTTAATGATTATATAAAAAACTATACAAGACATGAGGTAATATGATTATATTATTTTATCAAATGAGTAAAGAAAGTAGTTAAAATTTGACTATATAAATAGTGAACATGCAACTTAAATTATGACAGAGAAAATTATATATCTTTTGCCCACATCCCTGATATGCAAATAATCCTGAAAAAGTATGATAATACCAAGTTCAGGTTCCCATTTTCTAATTATTAGGTTCTAATCATCAGTCAAAATATAATAAAATTATTATACTCTCTTCGTTCTTAAAAGTTTGCCACAATTTGATTTTTTTTTGTCAAATTGTGCGACCTTTTAATCATAAATGATGAAAAAAATATTTCTAAGTTATAATATGAATTTAGTAGAGATGAGTTTATTTTAAAATATAACTTTGAAATATTGAAATTTTATAATATTTAATTATTTTAAAATGTATTTAATTTATGATTGCTTGGGATTGTGCGGAGATTGGAGCCAAATTAAAGAAGTGATTGGGCCAAAATCAAAGTCAGCCCGATTAATAAGGAGCATTGAAATCCATTTACCAATCCTTTATATCTTTGAAATGTCAAAACAAAAGAAAACTCAAAAGGAAAAAAAAGAGAAGGAAACATGAAGGAGCAAAGTAGCAAGAAAAATGACAGGGGTACACTAAAGGTGTACCCCAAATATCCCCCACCCCCTCCTTGTCCATTAAAAAAGGCAAAAAATTTCAAAAAAAAAAAAAGTAAATAAAAATCAAACAAAAACGTGTGAAGGAAAAGAGGGTGATGTACATTTGGAGTACACCTTTTGGTGTACCCTAGGGGTGTTCATTCGGTAAAACCGAACCGAACCGAAATTTCGGTAAATCGAAATTTTGGTAATATTATATTTGTACCGAATACCGAACCGTATTAAATCGGTTCGGTACGGTTAATACCGAAATTATTTCGGTTTGGTATTCGGTAATACCGAAAAAAACCAAAAATTTCATTTTATTTTCATCTATACTTCACTTTTTTTATTTTCAATTTGTACCACAAGCAATCTCGTTCAACATTTAAAGAAATTAGAAATACTTTATATTTTTAGCTATAGTTAGTCATAAATTACTTAGTTTTTCATATTATTAAAAGATTATCGAAACACATGATTTTCATCTTGTAAAAAAATGAAATATAAAAAAAGAAATAAAAAATTCAAAATATAAAAAATATTCTATCAAAATGTTTAAAAGATCTTACCTTTAGCCACCGGTAATTTATTGTCATACGAAGTGAGGTCAATGTATTGACCATTTGGAATAAATGAAAAAAAAATTAAAGAAGAAAGAGTCAAATAGTAAGCATGAGTAAATTTAGCTAGATATGAAGTATTTTTTAAAAGTTAAAATTGTCAATAAAAGGAAGGATAAAATAAGGTAGACCACTATATAAGTTGCTAGGACTCAAGGTTAGAATTCAAACTTCAAAATATTTAAAATAATAAAATGAAGTAATAATTTGGTATTCGGTAAAAACCGAATTACCGAATTACCAAATCAAACCGAACCGATAACCGAATTTTAGCAAAAAGAAAAATCGAAAACCGAACCAAATTATTCGGTTTGGTTTCGGTACGTACCGAAATTTCGGTTTTGGTACGGTTCGGTCGGTTTACCGAATTGTGCACATCCCTATGTACCCCTAGCATTACTCCTCATAGTGCTTCTTTTCTCTGAAGTCTACAACAAACAACTTCTTTTCTTTATTTATAATTGAACAAAAGGAGAGTACAGAAGGAGTTGAACGTAGTTACTAGTTAGACAAACATTGAAAATCAAAACAAAGAATGGATAATTGGGCTATAATTGCAGCTCCCATCCAGAATTCTCTTTGAGAGGCACCAATCCTAGATTCCTAGTAGAGTAGCTAGAGAATTCGTTTCAAATGAGTTGTTTAGCAAACATTAGATGGCCGAAGAAATAGACCGCACGGAGACTTCTCCTCCATTTCAATCTCTTCTCATTTCAATTATAAAAGAAGTTGAGCCCACACGAAAGAGCTGACCTGTGCGGCGGGGAAGTCTAGCATTGAAGTGGCCAATCACATACAGAAGCAACTGGCTGAAGCATTGGGATTCGAGCCCACCGCTCTTACGAGAAGAGACAAGTATTTGATTCTCGCGGGGAATGAAGGGATTGTCCAAAATCATTAGAAGATAAGTAGTAGTGGGTGTTCCATCTTTTCTAAATATTTTCATGCCCCCTTCCTTAGCTTCCTTCCGCTCCATCGAATGAATTTGATCTTTAGTGTAAGCTAGGTTCTTACTTCTTACCTCTGTGTACGAGTTGCTCATATAATTTTATACTCCGGGTATCAAATATTATGATGCAATTATATAATTATATTACTCCGTACAAAACTAAAAATATTAGAGCGTTTAAATTATATCCAAAAACTTAAAAAAAAATGGACGATGTGTTTGAAAATGTATTACTATATGCAGAGTATTTCACTTGCTTATTTCATAATCAGCATATACATACATCTGTTAAAAGTATTTTCAAGAAATGCTTTTAGTTTATCTTTGGACTAAATCTTTTAATGAAGAGATTGTACATCAACTTAACATTTAACATCATCATAACAACATATAAAATTCTCAAAGACATATCAATCATCAATATCTTTCAAAGTAAACAAAGTAATATTTTATTAATAAAAGTTTAATAAAGAATACAATGATAAAAAGATAAACTTACAGTGCTCCAAAAGCTAGAAAATTGACTCTTGATGGTGAAAATTAACCAATAAAAATTTAATACAACATTTGGAAAAGAAAAGAGGAATTTTGCCCTTACAAGAGGAAAAATCGAAAAGGAGAAAGCTCGGGGAAGAGGAGGATCTCACAATCTTTTTTTGGGAGGAGAGCTACACTGCCGCCGCCTGTTGCTTATTTTCTAGAACCTTCATCGTCATTGTCGGTAGGCGGGCAAGCATGTGGGCACGTGCTAGCTAGCTCGCCGGTGCTCATATTCACCTAACTTCTCGTTTTGCCATCATGCAACCTGCCTACTACACCGGCATTGACCATCGACGCCGGTCTACATGAAATTGTGTTCTGAACACTTTTTTCGTCTGATCGACTTCTAATTGTGCATCGTTTGTGAGATAGGATTATTTTTCTATTAAAAATTAATACTTCTTATTCCATTGTTGGCCCAGTTCTTACTTGTTAATTCAAACACATTCATTTTATTAAGGGTGAGCATCGGTCGGTTTTGGTTCAAAACTGAAATAACCGAAAAAAATATTACATTAAAATAACCAACCGAACCGAACCGCAAAAAACCAAGCACCGAAATAACCGAAACCGATTTAAACCGATTCCATTCGGTCAGTTTTAAAAACCGAGCAACTCCACATTACTCTTTGTTTTGCAAAAGAGCAGGAATTGCAATATCACTTTTATAAAGTACTCGTACAAACTAATTACGGAGTATATGAATTAGGATCACCAGTGAAATTAAAATTTTGAAACCCAATCCATTTTTAGATCCCGAAGCTTCAAATGTGAAACTTAATCAATTGAAGGATTATAATTTCATTTTTAAAATATGAGAATTAAAATTTTTAAATACCTTAAATTAAAACTTAAATATAGATCTAGATGTGCTCCTATGTGATTGTGTAGTGGGATGGAGGTTTTCGGAGTTACAGAGGCCCAAGAGAAAGACAAGAAGGTGCGATGGTGAGGATGTAGGAAGCTGCCGAAGAGAGAAGTGATGGCGGCGGCCTCCTGAGATTTGTGAAGTGCGAATGGAGATTTTATCTATAATAATTATGAAAGCAGGGGGGTGATGATGGATTGACGGGGAAAGAATTTTGAAGAGTAATTGTATTGGGTTAGATCTCAAAATATTGGATTTTGTTTGGGTTGATGAAATAGAATGTGGGATAAGTAGGAGTTAATGGCTGGGCTGGACTAATAATTTGGGCTGGGCTAAGATAGGGTCGGTTATTTGATCGGTTCGAAACTGAACTATCTTAGCCCAGCCCAAATTATTAACCAAAACCAGCCCAAATTATTAACCAAAACCGAACTAACCGACTAGTTTGGATAGTCCAACCGAAACCGAAACCGAAACTAAACTTTCGATAAATTCGGGTTTTGGTTAACGGTTCTACGGTCGGTTCGGTTATTATACTCACCCCTACATTTTATGACCAATTTATCAAAACACATTATTTGATGAAAAGATTAAAGAATGGATGTATTTGATGATTAAAATAGTGCAAGAACGTATTAAATATGAGTAAAACGATAAGTACGAATGATACTCCCTCCATAGTAGATCTGTCCGCATATCCTAAGCTGACCTGCTCGCAGAACCCACACCGATTTGTCCGATGCTCTGTCCTCAGCAGATCCTCCTCATCTGTCCAACTAACTCATCTATCCGCCAGGGTGAAGTGCAGGGGCGTACGTACATAGGTTACAGTGGGGTCTAGAATTTGTATCAGTAAATTAGATGTAGCATAGTTAATTTGTATAGGTTATAGCGTCTGAGTTGGTTTATAACCTAATTTTGTAATGATACTAGTATGTAAATTGTCATTTGAATATAATTATTTCATACACTTTAATTTAATTTATTAAGCCATTAGAGATAAGAATTTAAGGGTCTTTTTTTCGTTTCAGCTCAAGTCGTACATCTTCACAAACCAATCTTCGAATATCCTAACCAGTTGCCACCCATCCAACAACCGGAGACAGAGTAATCCGGCTGCTCAGCACCACCAGAGTGTGGCGGCGCTCCAGCAAAACTAGCAATGCAATCAACAACCCCATTTATAGCTCTAGTCTGCTCCGAGTTATTACCATGGCAATCCCATAGCCATATATGTGCCATGCCACGCTGCACTGCTAAAAACGTTGCGAGCTCAAAGTTTGGGCCGGCCACAACTGAAGGGCATATGTGAATCACGAATTCGCCGCGCTCGCCGGACTCGATCACCACCGGGCTTGTCAAGTTCCGGCGGGACAGCCGGAGGACGACGTGGTCGATTCCCTTCGTTGGGCAAAAAGGCAATAAATCTTCCACGTACTTGCTTCTGTCGAGGATTACTCGGGTGGCGCGATCGTCGGACTCGTAGAAGAGAGAAAAGCGTCTTCCAGCAGCGGTGCCGCCGGCATCGTTGACCACCGTAACGGCGAACCCCTTGGTGGCTTCATGCATGGTTTGCCCAAATGGAGAGCAGAGCGATGGAGGCAATGAAAACCAGCCGGAAAGTGAAGCCATCATTGAAGGGTCGTTTTCGATAGTAATGGGCGGGTGAGATGGGATTGGTGGGCTTCTGCCTCGTCCATGTTGATGAACAAGCTAATTAACTAGCAGAAATAGGCTCATTATTTATCTCCAGCTGATCGGAGCTGGAAATATGATGGGCACATGAACTTGCCGGCGGAGGGACCCTTTGTGCATTATTATGAAACTTCATTCTCTCCGGTCTATTAGTCCTCTTCCTTTTCAAAATTGTGTTGATCAAAGTTTATAAATTTTTTTATGCATTTGTCAAAGACAATTGTGTAATACGGAGTAATATACTTCATAAATATAATAGCAATAAATTCATTTTAAAACTTAATTTTGAAATGATAAATTTATATAAAATATATTATTTGTAAATTAGATATAGATATTAATGATGAGAGTGTGATATTAGACACAACAAAAAAATCAAATGATAAGAAAGTTTTCGAAATGGAGAGTATAACATTATTAGTCCCTCCCGAAAATATGTCTCTTTTCTTTTCAAAACATAGGTTGTGTTCTTTTGATTTAGAAAAATTAACTTCCTACTTTTTCTAAATTCTAAAAATAACACTCAAAAACTTGCTTACGCAATACATCCTACTGCTCCCCTGGCTTCTTCCCTCATTCCACAATTTCGAAAATATAAACTGACCTTGCTCATATATGAATGTAGCACGAACTCATCCCCAGGTTCAATTCTTCACATGAGGAGCATCAAATTCCAATTCCAAGAAACAATCGGAGCTTTATTGATCGATCTGCCTTTTATTTTCTTGATTATAAAATCTATCTCCAAAACCAGCACCCATATCCCTAAATTCTCTACAATATCTCCCAACCTCGCAGCATCAGCCTCAATATGCATTGTGTTATGATTCTTACAATTTTGCCAAGGCCGCAAAATCCCATTACTAATGTATGAATACACGAAAAATGGATAGAAAACCCTAGCTTGAGCATTTTTCATACATTCCTTGATCACATAATCCTCTAACCAGTGTCCTATAAGACACCAAATTGGACGGGTAGGCATCCATCTAGCACTTTTACAAGCCTCTCTAGCTTCCCCAAAGTTCACCAACTCACCTAAGCTCTAACCTTGGATCTCCTCCTGCATTTACAAGAGGATGGAAACACTTATATCACTAATTAATTTTATTGGAATTGTACTAGATGAAGCATCACTTGAAACTCTATTTTCCAGGCAACACAGTAAGTCATATGAACCAGAGCAAAGAGTAGTTGGGCCACAAACATTTAACATATACTATAAAGACCAAACTACCCTTTTTGTGTTTCTTAGTTTATCCAGCCCAACACCCCTCTCCCCATTTTTACACCTTTTCCTTCTATGTTTGATCAAATAAATTCCTATCATGAGTAATTGCAAGTATAATATGGTTAGTTGGCAATGTTGTTAATAGGTTATACTTGAAGCTGTTCTTGGAGGCCTGATAAAATGATCATATGAGGATTTAGTCCAGCTTTTTATGCCGATTTCTGCCGAACAGTGTGGTTGATTACTAAATAAACAGAGGCAAGACATTAAAAATGTTTGGTTATTACGAAGTAGAACTTGCAGTGATGTTCCTACATTAACGAATTTTGTAATTCAACTCAACTTTTAAAGGGAAAATTTTAGCCATTCTAAATGCTACATGATCTGCAATAATATCGTGTGATAAAGTTTAATTAATTCTTGTGATGGAGAAGTAATGCACACAATTTATTTCATGTGGCCTCTAACTTATAAGTAATGAAAGTATGGGTAAGGTAGAATACAAAACTAAAAAAATGATGATTGTATATTGTTGAAGGCAATTAACATGAAAGCAAGATTTGTTAAGAGTTAGGATGAAGAGGAACATTGGTAAGCTAAAAAAACAATATTAATTGTACTTTGAATTTGGTGTTACTTAACAATCTCCTAATCTACACACTTTTTTGGTTTTCATTTAATATATATTTCTAAAACTCCTCTACTTAACCGCAGATTTTGAAGGCAAAATCAGCACTGCCTGTAGTTTCATCAATTCATTTAGCACCAAAAGGAGAAAATGGCTGGTGCTGACAGGGTGAATCATCAAAACCAAGAACTTGTAGCAACTGGTAAATTGTGCAAGGCAGTGCCAGTAGGGGAGTCAATGAGGAGGCAACGAGGCAGGCCTGCCGGGTCAAAAAACAAGCCAAAACCACCTATCATCATCGCCAGAGACAGTGCAAATGTGCTCAAAGCACACGCAATGGAGGTCAGCTCTGGGTGCGATGTGAACGAGAGCCTACTGAGCTTTGCCAGAAGAAAGCAGAGGGGAATATCTGTGCTAAGCGCAACAGGGTGTGTGACCAATGTGACGTTGCGACAACCAGCCTCTTCTGGGTCCATTGTGACACTCCATGGGAGGTTTGAAATCCTGTCGTTGCTGGGGTCGATTCTCCCCCCTCCAGCCCCACCAGGGGTCACAGGGCTGACAATCTACCTAGCTGGGGCTGGAGGGCAGGTGGTGGGGGGGTGCGTGGTGGGGACGCTCATCGCCTCGGGCCCCGTCGTCATCATGGCTGCAACCTTCTTGAATGCCACTTTCGACAGGCTGCCGTTGCATGACGATCAACAAGTCATTTCAGCAGGGGCCAACAATCATCAGCACTACCACCACCAAAACAACCATCAGAGCATTGATGTTTCTGACATGTACGGACTGCCGCAGAATCTGATCACCAGTAGCGCTTTACACCCCGTTGAGGTCTACACTTGGGCACCACCCAAGAACTTGTCAAAACCATAGATGATGAAACAACCCAGAAGTTAATGATGAATGATATCATGAAGCTATCTCTAGTCTTTTATTTGCTTAATTGATTCTACTTCTCACACAGAATTGTAAGTTAATTCTCTACAAATTTTACAGTCACCATTCAGATGTTCAACTAAATGCATGTGTACTTTTAGTGTAATGTAATTTCCTTCATTAACAAACAAAAATAAAACCATCAATTATCTTAATTACTAGTCTTAGCCTCATGCTTCGCACAGGCTCGTATGCATATATATATATATATATATATATATATATCTGTGTGTGTGTCTAAAGGGAGAGAGAGGGGGGGCTTATATTTACAACAATGATACAATACTCCAATTGTGGTACTCCGTTAGTTAAACTAAATATTCTTGTCCCCCTACCCACCCATTGCCCCCAACCCTAAAAACACTGATTTCGCCTGCCAAATCGGCATTTTCAGGGTGGTGCAAAAGGGGGGCAGAGGGTGAGAGTTTGGTGGTAGGAGTAATCAATTTTAAGAATGGAGCACGGTAGGTACCCCGATTGGAGTGTTGTATAATTGTTGTAAATTGTTTTCGTTTTGACTTTACTCCCCCTCACACACGCACACATACATACATACATACATACATATACATACATACATACATACATACATACATACATACATACATACATACATACATACATACATACATACATACATACATACATACATACATACATACATACATACATACATACATACATACATACATACATACATACATACATACATACATACATACATACATACATACATACATACATACATACATACATACATACCTACATACATACATACATACATACATACATATATATATATATATGGGATTGACTCCAGTGAGATGACACCTTACAGTGAGATGACATGCTTCGGTCAGATGACACAAAGCTCACCACTGGTTACTGCAAAGCTCACCAAAGACAACTACAAAGCTCACCAAAATGTAAGGCAAAGCTCACTATTTTTTTTCAACACTTTGAATTTTTTTTCCAAAAAATAAAATCAAAGGAAGGGGTGCTGACTGGACTTTGACTGTTGACTGCCAGCATTGACCGACGCCTGCCACCGTCCGCCAGCCGCCGCTGCCGCCAGTCGCCGGTCGTCGCCGGTCGCCGCCGCCAGACTCCGGCCGCCATCGCCGGTCGCTGCCGGTCGCTGCCGCCGGACTCTGGCCGCCGCTGCTGTTCCGCCGCCCTTGACCGGTGTTGTTATTTTATTTTTAATTAATTTTTTAATTTTTAAAATTTTTAAAAAAGGTGAGTTTTGGAGTTCAAAGTGGTGAGCTTTGCTTTATTTCCAGGTGAGCTTTGCATTATCCATTAGTGAGCTTTGTAGTATAGTGTGGTGAGCTTTGCGTTATCTGACCGAAGCATGTCATCTCATTGTAAGGTGTCATCTCACCGGAGTCAATCCCTATACACACACACACACACACACACACATACATACATACATACATACACACACACACATACATACATACATACATACATACATAGTTTCATAATCAATAAAAGAGTGAAATATGTATAAAAGTTTCTATGTTACATCTCCAATATTGCAATATATAAAACACCTAAATTTGATACGCATGTGTGACTCCCTTGGACCAATCATTTTGGAGTTCTGTTGATATGAATGGAGTAGATATTGATGAATTTATTTTAACTTTCACAACTCTAATGATTTTTTCACGGTAATTATTCCGAATTTATAGTTTTGATAGAGATCTTTTAGATGTAGGTTTTTTATGTAAAAGTTGAAAAGTTATTTTGTTTACAAACTTTTGACTATTTTTTGGATACTCGAATTTCACATTTTGGAAGTCACAAAAATTTAAATTATATGCACTTACAAAACAAAAATTATAAATACTTGAAAAAAAAGATAATGGTGGTAATTGGTAAATGCAGGATGAAATATGCAGAAACCTGCAGATTCATAAAGATGGTAAACGCTACAATTTAATTTAGTATAGTGATAAAAGCTCACAACAAAAGTAAATTCCAATTCCAGCAATTAGGCTCAAGCATAAGCTGTGTGCTAAAATCAACGATCATGACAACAAAAACCCTGTTTAATATTAATATGAAGGTTTTTTATGAGTTCCCCTTGTTACATACTCCCTCAATTCTCAAAAAAGGTTCCTACTTTAACCAAGTGTAAAAATAAGAAAGTGTTAAATTGTAGTTGACTTCCAATTTTACCGTTGATGTGATTGATAGATTATTAGAAAAAAAGTAAGATGTTATAGGTAGGTATGAAAAAGTAAGAATAAAAGTGGTCTTTGAAAAGAAAGTGGAAGTATTTTGTTGGAATTCGAAAAAATGAAAAAGAAAGTGTTTTTGAGAACGGAAAAAATATGTTTTTCTATTAAATTTGTTATTTTAAGCTACAACATGTTGTTATACCTGGCATAGTTGAATGTTCAGTATTCTATTTCAGCAATATTCTATTATGGGTTAAGGGGGAAGGGGGGGGGCACAAAATGAATACAAACAAGCCCAATATATCCCACCTTAACTTGGGGGCAAACTATTACTTTACCTTTACTGTACTACATGGCTCCTTCCCGAGGAGTGAAGAGATTGTTTCTCATTGGAGTTCAGACAGCCCGTGACCCATACGATGAGGGAGAAAACACCGCACCGGCAAAAAATATTTTTAAAAAAATTGAAACACATTCTGAACTCAGCTCACAAAGATTCTATATGCCATCCCCAAGAGATCATAGTTCAATTTTTGTTTTGATCGAACTCATGGAAGTTTAGTGTCTTAACTTTTTACTCCTAGTCCTAAAAAAAACTCTTGAACTCTCCTTACTATGCATAAATGTCGTTGTTTGCTGGTGCATAATCCATATTACAGCTCTGGATGGGATTTGAGGTGTAAAAGAAAAAAGCACAATGTGACACACACACACTTGGATAACCTGTGAGGAATTAAACAAAGAAATTCATTCTGAAGTAATAGCCCATTAGGAATACTGAATACGTGTCTATTTGAAAACATGTGCCCTCACAAATTTATGATGCCCGCTGGTCCAATTTATCTTATTTGATAGTGACAAGAACTAAAAGGCACAAAAGCAGTATAAATGTAGCTTAATGCGCTATTGATGGAAGTCATATCACACCCTAAAACTAACCTGGCAGTAAAGATATGCATGCCATACTTTGGTTATGGCAAGTTGGTGCATTCTGCATTTAAGTAATCCTTTCTAAGTGGATGGTAATATTGTCATGATTTCGTTGGCAGTGATTATGTAACTTATGTTCTCAACAAACATAGTCCTCTTCTCTATTTTGATCATTGACCTAAAGACAAATCGAAACCCTAAAGAGTACAACATACAATACCTCAACTGTAAATAGAGAATTAAGATGTATAATCTGTTGTGTTATTACCTGGCAATTAACTTCATGCCGCTTAAAATATGAGGAACTCCACAGGCCATGGTTTTGCTTCTGTGAACAATTAGTGGTCGGATACTGAGCTCAACATGTCAAATCTATGAATTCCAAGAATGCTGGCATGATGTTGAAAGAACGAATAAAATTACCATATATAGAGTAAAGAGAAGGTTGTCCATTTTTCTATTTTATTTATATTTTGGTGCACTCTTGGAGTTCCTCTGTTGTTCTTCCATTTTCGCGGCACAAAAAGAATAACAAATTTACATAAAAACACAATTGGAGCATTCTATAAATGTTAAGAATCAGACATTGGTTTATTTCTTCTTGGTGTTGTGATGTGGAGGTTCTCAAAAATTTATTTACACTACCAATAAATGGAAGGCAAGCAATTACCTTGTTTCCAATGGATGCGAGCTTATATTGCTAAATTGGGGAAGAAACACTTGATTGAATAATTGATGCGTCTGGTGTGTAACTGATGGATGAAGTTGTGAGCAGCTTAAGGTGGCTTGTAGTGTTAAGGAACCTTCAATCTCTGTGATTTCCACCCGGCCGTTAACAGTCTTCCTATTGCCTTCACTCCAGATTTCAACATTTCAACGTCTTTTTTGTGGGATTGAATAGCAAAGCACAAAAAACAAATTTAATATCACATACCTTCTATATATATACTCCCTCCATCCCACCCCAAAAGGCACTCTAACCAAATTTCATACAACTAGTTTATCTTTCCAATTACTTTTACTATCTTTTCAACCATTTTTACACTCTCTTTCTTACTTTTTCAATAACTTTTACACATTATATCTCACTTACTCAATCACTTTTACACTCTTTCTTACTTCAACCTATACACCCCTACGTTTTCAATCACTTCTAGATTCAACCTTAATCTCCCAAAATACAGGAGTGCCTTTTGGGATGGGACGAAGGGAGTGTGTGTGTGTGTAGACTTTTCAAGATATTTTGAAGATTAAGGAAGGGTTTGAGAAGGACATTCATGAAACCTATAAATGAAACGTACATGTAGACTAAACTTGAAAACATAAAACAAAGGTCGTAAAACTAAATTTGATTTACAAAATAAGTGCTTGATGCTAACTCATGAATGTGAACTTTCAAATGGATTTCATAGTTTCAAAATTAAAATTCAAAGTCTTGCTTCTCAGAATCTTTACGTTCCAAAGATTGTGTCTCTGCATCAGAATTTATATGTCACCTTTGGAAAAGCTAAAGCCGTCGAGCACATTTCCTTTGAACCTGATTTACAATTTTGATAAGCAAAACTTGTGTCTTACATCCAAGTGTCATGAAAAATGGATATACATTTTAAATAGTTTCTATTGAAACGATTTCTAGAGAAAAGAGTCAAAGGGAACGAATTCATCCGTTCAGAAATGATTTCAGGGGAACAAATTCTAGAGAAAAGAGTTGAAGGGAAAATAATAGTTTTTGTTTGCCTTGCTGATTAAAATTTGATATTCGTAACAAAATGACAAATTTCCCACAATGTTAGTGTCCTCCTCCAGTTGGTTAATGTGTTGTTGTTCCATTTTACACAGCAAAAAAAGGTTAACACAGTTAAATAGAAACACAATTGAAGTACTAGATGAATGTAAGGATTGGTACCTTGTACTATTTTGAAGGAATTCTCGGGATCACGCTTTTTTGAAAATCTTTTTCCATTGTTGGTCGATGAGTACAACACAACCTTGTCACCTGCCATTATAAACACAAATGATGCACTCACTGGAAATGGTAACAGAGATATAAAAGTGAGATGACCATGCCGACAGATTAAAAGATTGGTGTTCCATGTGATTCTAATTTCCAAAAGCAATGAACTCCCACTTGTTTTGTGAATGAAATTTCCTAAATATACAATCAATAAACTGAGATGACTTGCGTGTAAAAACAATTATAATGCCCTGCTTGTAAACACAATAAGCAAAACCTGCAAAGAATAAAATGATACACCGCAACCCCAGCGACCCTTCCTGTGATTCATTCAGTCACCCCGTTCAGTTCAGCACCATACCTAGTGCGTCAGAATGCTACCTCTTCATCAATCACCAATTAAACGAACAAAGAAGGATCTCCTCATCATTCAACGGCATATCTTCTTGCGATTCAAACGATGCCTTTAAATGAATGAGAAAGATGCCTCTAAATGAATGAGAACAATGCCTTTGGAAGAAATTTGAAATAACAGGAAGAAACTGGAAGAAACTGGAAGGAACTGGAAATGGAAGAACTGGAAGGAACCGGAAGAAACTTAAAGGAACTGGAAGAAACTAGGGGTGGACACGGTACGGTTCCGGTCCGGTTCGAGAACCAAAGGTTCCGGTACCGCCACCCCAGGGAACTGCTACCAGTACCATTCCAACCGGTACCGGCGACGGTTTCGATACTCTACCGGATGGTTTCTGTCACCTTATATTTTTTTGAAATTTATAAAAGTGTAAGTATTAAAGGAAATAATGAAATAAAATATCAAAAAATGTAGTTGTTATTTAAATATTGAAAAATGAGTAATGCACGAACAACTACATTTAATATTCTGACGGTTCAAAAAAGCGACGAGGTAAATAACCGTAAAGAAACACTCGAAGAAGCTTATATATCGCTCGCCTAAAAAAACTACTTACATTAATATAAAAAAGAGTTTATAACTTATTCCTTGAAACTAGGGCTTCCATCTGTGGTTGCATTCATGTAATGTCTGGCATTAATGTCGTACCCTGACTCTTGAACTCGACGTCTTGCCAAGAGCCAATCCCGGTTGCAAACAAACAAGTGTTTGAAGCGATTCAGCACTAAGACAACTTTGGTAGTCAGTTAGAAATTAGAATGTTGCGGCTAGAACTGAATTCTTGTTCCATAATTACAGTTGAAACCGGGACGGATAAAACTTGTCTGGCGAGCATTCCGAGAGATGAGAACATGTGTTCGTTCCGCTTCCACCATTCGAGGAAGTCAAAGTCCACGTTGTCGCCGTAATCACATGGCAGCCCTTTGTGCATAGCAAGTTTGTTGCGCGACCTTACAGTTGTACCACCTGAACTCGTCGAAGCGTAATCACGCTTACCTTTTTTGCCAAAAGGCCACCGACTATCACTTTAAAACCTTTTTTTGCTTTGGGAGGCGAAGGAGGTGTTGTTTCTTCCGGTGCATTACCGTAAATTGTTTAGAATTTTTTAAATAAAGCCTTAAAAAGATCAATAGCATTATCTCTTTCTTTTGTCCATTTTATTAAATGATTGTAGTAATAATTATTTTCATCTAAAAAACAAGTGTAGTAATACTCAATCAGAAATTGAAAATTTTCAATCTTAAAGTGAGGATCACAAATAATGCCAATTTTATAAATATCAGGAATATACAAATATCAGGAATTCAAAAATAATAAAAAATTGCTTTAAGGACAACCCAACTTGAAGATCCCACCAAGACATGAGAAATTCTAGTGAGTTTTGCATTTCCTTGCATATTTGCCACTGTAAAATTATAATTCAATACATTTGAGCAACATTATTATCATCATAATATAATAAAAAATGAAATTAAAACTTAATACCTTTGACTCTGCTGCCTTAGCCACTGTCACAGGAAGCCATCCACAATTCAAGTACCCTAGCCAAGTCACGGTAGTCCCAGTCACATTATTATATGCTAATTCATTTATTAGATGAAGAGGCAATATGTTTGAAAAAAACTGACAATGAATCTTCAAGGGATACCTCCACTTCCCTGTTTCCTACTTAGAAAGCACATAAGAGTAATAATGCATATTGTCATACTGCAATGAATTATAATGAAAAATACAATTGTGCCCCTGGTGCATCTAGTAAATCAAATAGAAGATAAATATAAAATTAAATATAATTCAACATAACATAAAAATCATGCCAATTCTCCATTTTAGAACCATATACCTGAAACAGTTTTGATTTTATACCCATATAAAAACTATGTTAAAACAGAAATATGGAGAAGTCATGCATGTTGCTCAAATTTCTCAATATGAGTACATGCCTTAGTTTGGCGGCAACCTTTGGATTTAGCTTTGCAGCCTTAAGGTCCTTATGGTCACAGGTACCGGTAGGGGAGGATGGAAAATAGAGGGTGGCGGTAGCACCGTACCGACCTACCGTCGGGCACGAAAAGTTCAGATTCTGCAACAACTTCATTTTTCCACATCAAACAACATCAATTTCATAACAATAAACATCAATAGGTTCATATTAACAGTACCAACATTAACCAACATCATTCTAACCTTACATATTTTGATCCATGCCTTTTAAACCACAAACAACATAAACCATACGTTAGATGTCCACGCACTCACCTCGATTACGACGAATAGAACTACGGGGATATTACCAACAACAAGGAAATCGTACGACGATGAACTTCTATTCTTCTTCTTCCTTCTTCCCACTGCTGCGTGATGCGAGAAGATTTTTTATACGTCGTTTCGCTCAAAAAGAGATGAGAATGAAATGGAATGGAAATGTGGAAAATGTAAATAATGGGTATAGTGGTGAAAGTACGAGATGTTGAATCCACGAGGATAGCGTGATTGGTTAGAAATCGAGTGCAAAGTGTAACTAAACACCAATATCGAATTGTATAATGTGAATCAAGGCCTAAAAGGAGAGAGAAGATGAATGATGCAAGTGGAAACTAAACTAATGCAATGAAATGTAAGAAGTAAATGAAAAGCAAGCCTAGATTAGGAATTTCATGCTAATCATGCAATTGCCAACAGAATGGAGGAAAATGAGAAATCGACTAGAATGCGAGCAAATGACCTCAACTCTCACTTCCATGAGAATCGAGAAAGAATACCCTTACAAGAACCTACTTCCGTGGCGCTCGTCTAAAGAGAACTACAAACACATCAAACAAGCTCCTCAAGTATCCTCCACTTCCGTGGTAGGACTTGAGAGTAGAGACACACGGCTAGGATTCTAAATCCAGATTCCTTGGTGACTTAGAATCCACTTCGAAATACAAGAATGTCATCGTGGCCAACAACAACATCTTAGCAACAATAAGATCAATCTCCACAAACAACCTAGAGCAATATATCATATTTTACACTAATCCATCAACAACAGACACAAATCAACAATCCATCCCTAACCTAGGCTAGAAAATCTAACCTAGCATGCTTAAACTAAGAAATGAATAAAGATAAGAGAGTAAGAAATAAGTTAAAGACATAAATAAGATGAAGAAAATAAGAATCTAATATTAAAAGGCAACTAATAAGATTAAAGAGAAAATATCTAAATTTGGAGCTCCCAAAATAAAATGAGATGATGAAAGAGATGAACAAAACCCTAGTCTAAAAACATGGAAATGCAAATGGGGGAGCTCTCTTTAACAATTGGAGCTAGGGGAGTATATATAGAATAGGAGAAATTTAGAGTAAAATGACTAATAAGGATAAGTTGAAAATTAAGTAGAGTAAGGACCAGGGTAATATTGTCAATTCACGCCCAAATTGAAATCTGAATTTGTTGCTGGCCTTCTTCGTCTTCTGCTCAACGACAGGGCTTGGAGCTTCGCGTTGCAAGCTCGCCGGAGGTGGGAGACCAGCACGCCGGAGCTAGAGTCTACGCTTGGGAGGTGAGCTTGGAGTTGGATCTGGGTCGCTGAGGGCTGGACCGTCGCTGCCAGTTGCCACGCCGGAGGTCTCCGCTGTTGAAGCTTGCCGGAGAGGACAAAGCCTCGTCGCCGTCCTGGAGTCGCGGACGGAGGAGATAACATCGCCTCTGGTTGCTGCCAGAAAGAGCGACCTGGGTCGGGTCTTCGATGAGGAACGCGCCTGGCGCCTCCCTCCTCCGTAACATTTGATTCACTTTCAATTGAGGAAGCTTTTGGATTTTGTGAATTGGCCCCTGCAATTTAATCTTGTTTGCAATTCAGTCCTAATGTTAGTAAATGGAGCCATAAATTAATCAAATATCATAAATTAGCCCAAAGCCACATATTAGATTAATAAAACCCAATTAAGCTCAAATTACTATTAAAATTCATACTATAACAAGTCAATTAAAATATAATCAAATATGCACAAATAATAAACTTATCACTGCGCTACTGTTCCGTTCTGCTGTTTCTGATCCAAAGAGAGTAGCGAGAGAGAAATAGAGTATACGTGAGAGGGTTACGTAAAATATGGGAAGTGGCATAGAGGGTTTGGGGCATGTAGGGGGCATTTATACATTTGGGGTTTTGGGCTCCGTAATTAATTAACGTACCTAGCTCAAAACGTACTTTTCGAGCCCACAAGCTCCATATCCGAATTCGTTTGCACCGTTGGATTCGTTCCGTCAAACCCTACACGACGGTATAAACATTTTTATCAAACGAACAATATTTCAAAATTACACCAAGTTCATATCAATAATTAATTAATTATTTTTAATTAATTAATCCTGATAGTTTCAATCTCAACCACACGATGGAACAAATCTAATGGTTACAAATCATTCCTATTTCTTTCATTGAGACACATTTTTACTGAAACTCATATAGTATAGTGAGATTGAAATTTAGTATAGTGATAAAAGAGAGAAGAAGAGAAAGAGATGGAAGAAGTTTACGGGAAGAGGGGAAAAATTATTATCAACTTGGGGTTTGTAAAAATATCACATCCCCCTCATATAGTAAAGAGTTCCCCAAACTTAAAAAAACTAGTTTTCTAACATGTCAGTTCAAAAAAAACATCTAAATAAAGAACTCAAAAGAAACCCTCGAATGAACTTATATTTGCTCACCTAATAAAAATCTAATGTTAAGTCACAAAATGTCATATTTTATTCTCTCATTTCTTAGTACTTTTAAGATATTTAATATGTATTTTATACCTAAATAATCACATTTTGTTCTATTTAGCATTTTAGGCCATTGTTTGCATATTATTTTGATAATTATTTTTGGAAATGTTATTTTTCTTGACAAAATTCTTTATATATATTTTAAAACATCAAAAGTTGAAGGAAATGAAGAGCTGGACTTCAGGAGATTGGAGCCAAATTAAAGAAAGAAAGAAGTGATTGGGCTAAAATCAAAGTCAACCCGATTAATAAGGAGCATTGAAATCCATTTACCAATCCTTTATATCTTTGAAATGTCAAAACAAAAGAAAACTCAAAAGGAAAAAAAAGAGAAGGAAACGTGAAGGAGCAAAGTAGCAAGAAAAATGACATGGGTACACTAAAGGTGTACCCCAAATATCCCCCACCCCTCCTTGTCCATTAAAAAAGGCAAAAAATTTCAAAAAAAAAATAAGTAAATAAAAATCAAACAAAAACGTGTGAAGGAAAAGAGGGTGATGTACATTTGAAGTACACCTTTTAGTGTACCCTAGGGGTGTTCATTCGGTAAAACCGAACCGAACCGAAATTATATTTGTACCGAATACCGAACCGTATTAAATCGGTTCGGTACGGTTAATACCGAAATTATTTCGGTTTGGTATTCGGTAATACCGAAAAAAACCAAAAATTTCATTTTATTTTCATCTATACTTCACTTTTTTTATTTTCAATTTGTACCACAAGCAATCTCGTTCAACATTTAAAGAAATTAGAAATACTTTATATTTTTAGCTATAGTTAGTCATAAATTACTTAGTTTTTCATATTATTAAAATATTATCGAAACACATGATTTTGATCTTGTAAAAAATGAAATATAAAAAAAGAAATAAAAAATTCAAAATATAAAAATTATTCTATCAAAATGTTTAAAAGATCTTACCTTTAGTCACCGGTAATTTATTGCCATACGAAGTGAGGTCAATGTATTGACCATTTAGAATAAATGAAAAAAAAAATAAAGAAGAAAGAGTCAAATAGTAAGCATGAGTAAATTTAGCTAGATATGAAGTATTTTTTAAAAGTTAAAATTGTCAATAAAAGGAAGGATAAAATAAGGTAGACCACTATATAAGTTGCTAGGACTCAAGGTTAGAATTCAAACTTCAAAATATTTAAAATAATAAAATGAAGTAATAATTTGGTATTCGGTAAAAACCGAATTACCGAATTACCAAATCAAAACGAACCGATAACCGAATTTTAGCAAAAAGAAAAACCGAAAACCGAACCAAATTATTCGGTTTGGTTTCGGTACGTACCGAATTTTCGGTTTTGGTACGGTTCGGTCGGTTTACCGAATTGTGCACATCCCTATGTACCCCTAGCATTACTCCTCATAGTGCTTCTTTTCTCTGAAGTCTACAACAAACAACTTCTTTTCTTTATTTATAATTGAACAAAAGGAGAGTACAGAAGGAGTTGAACGTAGTTACTAGTTAGACAAACATTGAAAATCAAAACAAAGAATGTATAATTGGGCTATTATTGCAGCTCCCATCCAGAATTCCTTTTGAGAGGCACCAATCCTAGATTCCTAGTAGAGTAGCTAGAGAATTCGTTACAAATGAGTTGTTTAGCAAACATTAGATGGCTGAAGAAATAGACCGCACGGAGACTTCTCCTCCATTTCAATCTCTTCTCATTTCCATTATAAAAGAAGTTGAGCCCACACAAAATAGGGGGCATTTTAATTATTTTAAAATGTATTTAATTTATGTCAATTCGTATACATACTCAATCATAGAGTTGTTTGTGTGAATTTGGTTATGATTGCTAATTATGATTTTATTTAAATTGGTTGATCGATAAAGAAAAGGGTAGTGTTATGATTTCTTATTCAAATCATAGTTGTTAAGCCTCTATATGTACCATGTGGAACATTTGAATCTATTTAATATTGTGTTTGGACTTAATATTTTCGTTGTCTGCCTCACCCATGTTGTACCTGCAATTAACTTTTGGCATTCGACGGTAGTTTGGTAAAGTCTCACGGTAGCCGGATACCGCCACAGGCAAGGTTAAGGGTGGCAGATGTTACCACATGGTAGGAAGGCTGAGGAGTTGGTTTCATTTAGTAATACATTTGAATTCATTATGTTTTTCGAGCTAGAACCCAAAATTGTATTTTGAAATAAATACTTAAGCTATCGCACCATTTTATTAACTCCGATGGATTTATAAATATTATTTTTGAATTAAATGTTTTAAATTATTTTAAAAATTATTGTCTTTGGACGCCAATCTAGTAGCAACTCAACTCGTTGGTCTGTGTATTCGGGTTACGTGTGTCGGGATTTTTCAAGTCATGCAGGTAAGATATGTTTTTACTCGAATCTTGCACGCGAATATTAATTATTTTCTTTAAAACTGTGTGATTGTAAGACTTGAACTATTAATCTCTTGGTCAGCAATGCTCTGATATCATTGTCAACGAACCAACTCAACCAAAAATTCAAGTTTTTAGTTGTAGGTCCAGAATTTTTTTTATAATCTAATATAAAATGTCGCAAAGAGGCACTCTTCACAGTGTATATTGACTTAATGTATTTACTTAATTATGTTTCGATACCAATCTAGTAGCAACTCAATCCGCTGGCTTGTGTATTCGAGTTATATATGTATGTCGAGGTGTTACATGCCATGCAGGTAAGATGTATTTTTGCTCGAATCTTACATGTGAATATTAATTCTTTAAAATTGTGTGACACTAAGGCTTGAAGTAGTAAGCTCTTGATCAGCAATGTGCTGATATCATTGTCAAAGAACCAACTCAACAAAAAATTCAAGTTTGTAGTTGTCCAGAAATTTTTTTATAATCTAACATAAGACGCCGCAAAGGGGTACTCTTCACAATGTATATTGACTTTATGTATTGACATTATATGTTCTATTTTAGCATAAGAATATTAAAAATTTTATTTTTATTTATGAAACACAATCTAGTCTTCTTTAAGGTGCGTAGTATTTTTCCATGTTCCAAATTCTTCATTTTCCTACAACCAAATCTAGATAGAGGAAGTATTACTTAATAATGTTGGGCTAAAGTGTCCATTTGGGCTAAAATGAAACGGGTTTATTAATAGTGGGCTGAAAATATACATGCGGAGTAATTTAACCTTTTTTTTTTAAATTGAGCAATTTGTTATCATCAATTAAGGAAAATTCTGTTGTACATAGTAACATAGAACTCCGATCCTTTTGTCCTAAATGAATTACACTTTAGTGAAAATGAAGTATAAATTCTGCATTTTTAATTTATTTTATTTAAATATGAATGTAAAAATAAAAAATAATTTATATATTTAGAAAGTACATCAAAGTTTTAGAAAATAAGAGGTGACATGAATATTTTATTTCATCAAATAATCAATGAGTTCATACGCTTTTTAAATAGTGAAGTGTATAAGTCATTTAGGAATGGATGAAGTATATAAATATGAAAATAGGGTGTGATCATATCAACACTAATGCACCAGATCTCATCCGAACTCCAAGGATGGATGATACTTTGGAAAGTCCTCGTGTTGTACCTTTTTTTCCAAGTCGTTTCAAAAAAAGGTATGAAAATAATTTTAATTAGCTTTATCTTACAAAAAGTATTTTGAATTAATCTAATATTCTAATCGTTTTCACAAGAAACATAAATTTAATATAATAATTAGAAATTTTCATTTTGTACAAAAAAAATTAAAAAAGACAAATACTCAAGGTGTGAGAGAATATAATGTAGTATTCCATCAATTGCATGTGGATGTGCAGACAACAAAAACAGTCTTACTTTCTTGTATGAGAAGATCTGATGTGCATCAATTTTATTGAGGTAGGGGGGCCTTGGAACAATGGCATCAATAATACGGAGTACGTAGTATATCTCTTGCTTCAAAGGGACTCCAATTCAAAGTGACTGCAAAGCGCACGTACTCCATGCATACCATTTCATCACTGCCAAATCTAATCGCTAGGATGAAACATTTTCATTTCCATTTGCTATACCATTTTCACTTCTCTGGC